TAGTTCGAACTTAAGGGGATACAAGGGATGTCATATAACAAAATGTCATATTGATTTAGAGCTATAAACTCATTAAAAACAACTCATTGCTATTGAGTTGCAATGGATTTGTAACTACTCCTCCAGTAGGTTTTCAGGAGACTATAATTTGCTGGAGAAGAGAGGAAGACTCTCAACAAATTGGATTGACACAATGACTGGATTGACACAGTGACTATAACAACAGCCGCCATCATGTTAGAGATGGCAAGAATGGCTCAGGATAGGACCAAATTCCAATCTAATGCTTATAGCATCACTGTAATTTGTGGTCAACTTGAGAGCAAATAACAAGAAGAAGAAGAAGTAATTTTTTATCACATACCTTGTTACTTACTCTTAACTAGTTTAAAAAGACTTCATTTTCTTAAAAAACATAGTAGGAAAACTATTTAGAGAAACTTTGCATTGTGGTATTATTCTATTTGCAGATGTCTGGACGTGCTGGAAGACGAGGTCAAGATCTGCTGGGAGAGGTGTATTTCTTGAATATACCGTTGCCTAAAATAGAAAAACTCATAAAATCCAATGTTCCTGAGCTAAGAGGACAATTTCCTGTCAGCGTAACTCTAATCCTGAGACTCATGCTCCTGGCTTCCAAGGGAGACGACTCAGAGGATGCCCATGCAAAGGTGCCTTCTTAACAGGATGCATGGTTCGGTCTCTAGCACACCTGTGGCAGTAGTCGGGCTGTTGTTCTTTTCCAAGACTTTAGCAATAACCTTTCATTTCATCAGTTCTTTTGCACTGTGTTGATATTCACAACTTTTACCTCAAATCTCAATATTTAGCAGATTTCCATCTCATGCTATCTTTCTGAACAGAAAGATCTACTACACCTCATTACTTACCACAAACTGAAATATGCATTCCTGACAGAATTCTTGATATTTCAGTAAGACATAATTATATGATCTACATGTAGAGGGTAAGGAGTACACCGCAAATCCAAAGCACGTGATTTGAATCTACCAGCTGCTCCATGGGAGAAAGCTGGACACTTTGCTCCTGTGCAATTTAAATCTTCTCACAACCCATTAAGGCCTAGCTATAAGTCTGTTCTGACTTGATGATACCTAACCGCAAAAACATACTTCTAAAGTCTGAAGGGATTCACTCATTTATTACCCTGCTTGTTTTGAAAATAGGTTTGGTAGTTAGGTGCCATCGAGTTAAGTACAATTTATAGCCTCCTTATGAACACTATCCTATCCCCTGCCATCCTCACAATCTCTGACATACTCAAGACCATTGCGGCTGTCACCACATCAAGCCACCTAGTTGAATGTCTTCTTCTCCTTTGCTGCCCCTCCACCTTCCTAAGCATGATGACCCTCTCCAAGAAATTCTCTACCTAGCAAAATGTATAAAATATGTGAGATAAAGCCTCATTATCCTAGACTCTAAGGAACACTCTGGCTGCACCTTCTCTTAGACATATCTCTTTGTTCTTTTGGCAATCTATGGATCTTCAGCATTCATCTCCAACTCCACATTTCAAAGCCATCAATTCTTTTTTTTAATTGAGATTTTATTGTAAGTTTATAAAGAACTTGGATTCCCATTCATTCATTGTTGCACATATTCCTCCCTGCTTCCTCCCCCCTCAACCCCAGTAAACTTTTTTCTTTGGGAAAAAAGTTCTTTCACTGTTATACAGTCCCCACTCCAGAACATTTTACTATGCAGCTCTTTCATCCTTATTCACTATCCGGTTCTCAACAACATAATAGGAAATTGAAAAAACCCGTGGCCTGAATCAGGTGCACCTTAGTCCTCAAACTGATGTCATTGCTCCTCATTAATTTGGAGAGGTGCCTGACTGCAGACTTTCCCAGTTCAATATATCTCCTGATCTACTGATTGCTGGTACCAAGTGCATTGGTTGTGGATTCAAGTAAAATGAAATCATTGATAGTTTCAGTCCTTTCTCTATCCATCATGTTGCCTATTAGTCCAGTGATGAGGATTTTTGTTTTCTTGACATTGAGATGCAATCCATATTGAAGGCTGCAGTATGTAACCTCCTGCAGCATATGCTTCAAATCCTCCTCACTTTCAGCAAGTAAGGTGGTGTCATTCTCATAACAAACATTATTAATTAATTTTCCTCCAATCCTGATGTCATATTTTTGTTCATAAAGTCCAGCTTCTCAAATAATTTGCTCAGTATATAAATAGATACGGAGAAAGTATACAACCCTGACACACACCTTTTATAATCTTAAACCATGTAGTATACCGTTGCTCTATTTACACAACAGCCTCTTGGTCTACATATAGGTTTCTCATGAGCACAAGTAAATGTTCTGGGATTCCCATTCTTCTCAGTGTTTGCCATAATTTGTTATGATCCACACAGTCAAATGCATTTGCATAGTCAATAAAGCCAAATAAATATTCTCCTGATATTCTTTGCTTTCAGATTCTATCCGAAATCAATAACGATATCCATGGTGCTAAGGCCTCTTCTAAATCCAGCTTGAATACCTGGAAGTTCTCTGTCTATGGATCAGATTAAGAATATAATCCATAAGGAGAGTAAGAGTTCACTAAAAGACAGAGAAGAAAGAATGAAACAAAATGCATGTCAGAAGAGACCCTAAAATTTGCATTGGAACGTTGAGAAGGCAAAACAAAGGGAAGAAGTGCTAAAATAAAAAAGCTGAACAGAAGATTTCAAAGGGAATCTTGGGATTACAAAGCAAAATTACTATAATGAAATGTGCAGAGACCTAGAAGTGGAGAAGAAAAAGGGAAGAACTTGTTGAACGTTTTTTAATCTGAAGGAACTGAGAAACAAATTCAAGCCTCGAGTTGCAATACTTAGAGTTGCTATGAAAATAAAAATTGAATGATCAAGGTAAAATAAAAAGGAAATGGAGAGTGGCAAATGCAGTCAGAACTATACACCAGGAGAGGATAACATTGACAAATGGGATTCTTTAACGATTAAATTTCTCTGTACATAAAAAATATTTTTCTAGTAGGATTAAGAGAAAACCTACTGACAAGGGGGTGGGGAAATTGATAATGACATCTCAGACACGATCTGAAAATCAAAGTTTACAGAATACAGAATACTACAGGACCTTCACAAGAAAACAAACGAACAAACAAAACCCCAAAAAACTGATCACCAAATCACAAAATGATCAAGAGACACAGGAAGACTTTTCACAAAGGAAGACTTTTGGATGGCCAACAGACACATGAAGAAATACTCAAAACCACTGGCAATCAGAGAGGTGCAAATCAAAGCCGCAATGAGATACCAAGTCACCCTGGTAGCAATGGCTAACAAGACAGCAAGCAATAATACATTTGGAGAGTCTCATATACTACTGGTGGGATTGTAAAATGGTACAACCACTATGGAAGGCAATTTGGCATTTCTTAATAAAAACCAACTGAACATAGAAACACCATATGACTCAACTCTTCCATTGCTAGGAGTATACCCTGAGGAATATAGAACCGAAACACAAATAGAAATTTGTACACCAATGTTCACAACAGTGCCATTCACAATTGTAAGAATAAGGAAACAGCCCAAAATCCATCAATAAACAAATAGATTGAGAATGAACAACACTTTTAAAAATACTTTGTAACATGGGAGAAGCTAGAGAGCATTGCACTGAATGAATTAACTCAGTCTCATAAGGACAAATACTGCATACTTGTAAAAATAAAAGGATAACTAATAACATGTGTATAAATGTCTGAAAGGGAAAGGGGAGGGGACAGAGAAGCTGAGGGTGGGGAGGAAGAGAAATCGCAGACTTGGGGTGACAGTTGGCATAGATCAATGATGATTAATTTTATAAAACAGAGTATATGGGAATAATATTTATTTTTTTAAAATTATTTTATTATTTTTTGTGTGTGTACTGTCAAGTAGGATCAGACTGGTACAGGAGGAAATTG